AGAGAGAGAGAGAGGTAGTTTACTGCAACTACTTCCTTTGTGCTTTTCTAGAGAGAGAGAAAGAGGTAGTTTCCTGCAACCAATTCCTCTGTGCTCTTCTAGAGAGAGAGGTAGTTTACTGCAACTACTTCCTCTATGCTTTTCTAGAGAGAGAGAGTTCCTTTTCTGATTCCTTCTCTCTGAATTTTCTTTCAGGTTGATGCATATGTGGAGAACAATGTATGAGTGCCACCAAGTTCAAAACCATATAGCCCAACAACTCAACCACCTGGACCACCCAAGCTCTGAACCTACAACCGAGCACCATCGCCAAGCTGCTCTGCAACTCGAGGCCGAGCTCTCCTCGTGGTACACAAGCTTCTGTCGCCTTCTCGAGTCCCATCGAAACTATATTCGTTCTATCTCCTCATACATTAGGCTTCGCCTCCCTAGAGAGAGAAACCCACCCATTAACTCAGGACCCGACTTTCTCTCATTATGCAAAGAATGGCAGCTAGCTCTTGATCGCCTCCCTTACAGACCCGCCTCTGAAGCCATCAAAAGCCTTGTAACAGTGATTCGATCTATCATCTCTCAACAAAAGGAAGAGAGGTACCAGCACAAGAGGTCTGAGAAGCTAGCGAAATGTCTAGAGAGAGAAACAAGAGCACTATCGGTCATGGAGGAGAAGTTCACTGCTAGAGAGAGAAATGAGCACTTGCGGGGCTTAGAGAGAGAGACAAAGACACTTTTGGCTACAGAGGTGGCTACAGAGGAATCAGCGGCTGCAGCAGCAGAGTTGCTCCCATGGGGCTTAGACGGAGAAACAAAGGCCTTATCAATTACAGAGGAGCTCAGCTCTAGGGAGAGAAATGAGCTCTCAGGGGTCTTGGAGGGAGAAACAAAGACAGTATCAGCTACAGAGGAGTTCGATGCTAGAGAGAGAAAAAAGCCTTCTGGGGGCTTAGAGAGAGGAGCTCTTGAGGCGGCTAGAGAGCGAAAGGAGAAACCGCTCTTGGTAAAGCGAGCAAAGGTTGAAACTCTGAAGAAGAGGGCAGAGGAAGAGAAAGGGAAGCACGAGAATTCAGTGAGAGTGAGCAGGGCCATGACTTTGAACAATTTGCAAACTGCATTGCCTAATGTGTTTCAGGCCATGATGGGGTTTACAAGCATTTGCACTCAGGCTTTTGAAGCCATTAATGGGCATGCAAAAGCAGGTTATCAAGGTGCTGATATATGTGAAATGTATCTCTAGAGAGAGCAGCTTTTCTTCAGTCTTTTGGGTAGTTAGGGAGAGAAGCTTGGGTAGTTTGAGAGAGGAGTGTCTCTTCCTTCTTCTGTGAAGTTGGAGAGATAAACTTGGGTGGTTAGAGGAAGAAGCTTGGATGGATTGAGAGAGAAGCTTTTCTTCTTCTTTTGGGTAGTTAGTGAAAGAAGCTTCCTCTTGTTGGTATCTGGTTTAAAAGGATTTCAGTTATAATGGGTATTGATGAAAATGGAGAGCCTCGTTTGGTACTGAATGCCTCCATTAAAATTGTTCTTGACACGATTTGTTTTCCAGCTGCACATCTCTCTATCAGAGTAATGAATGTTGACACGATTTGTTTTCCAGGTGCACGTGTCTCTCTCTCTCTCTCTCTCTATGAACATGATCTCTCTCTCTAGAAGACGAATTTGTTGTTTTCGCATGTGATGATTGAGATTCCATTTGAGGATCTGCAACTCTCACATGGGGTAGTAGTAGTACGCATGCAAGAAAGATTGTATCCAATTATGGGCTAACTGTTAACATCTCTCTCTTGATCCATGATATTTTTCCAAATGGATACTGGTGCCTTTAATTGCACATTGTGGTGATCCATAAGAGTGTCTTCGTATGTGGCTACTGAACACTCTCTCTCTCTCTTGATTACTAAAAGTAAGTCAGAGTTTCCTGTTTAGAGAGGAGGGAACACAGAAGGCCCACAAGCAAAACTGGAAAACTGGACAAATGATGCCCCACAACATACCTGCAAAGCCCAGGCCTTATCAGTCTGGACCCTGCACTTGTATGGTCCACATCTAAATACATAATGAAAGGTAAGACATTAATCGGAATAAAAAAGACGCTCTGCCCTATGACCACAGAGAGAGAGAGATAGGCAGTTGTTGTCAAAAGCTGAGCACAGGGGTAAAAGGGGAGGCTAATGTTTCCTTTTTACTGGTTCACACTCCTTTTTGATGCTGGATTTCAGAAGCTACTCTCTCTCGCTCCATCCAAGAAGCATGGAGCCTCTCTTTCTTATGTGTAGCCTTCATCCATCCACGAAGCATGGAGCCCACCTCTCTTCTCTCTCTCTCTGATCTCAATATTATATATCTTTTAGGCCACATTTCGTCTCTCTGATCATCAAAATAATATCATCTTTTAGGGCACATTTCGTCTCTCTCTCATCATCAAAAATAATCTCATCTTTTACGGCACATACATCATCAAAATAATCTCATCTTTTAAGGCACATTTCGTTCATGGGAAATCTCTCTTCCGAAGAGAGATTAGACCGAACCGCTTTCTCACTTTTGTTTCACAGGAAAGCGGCGCCAGCAAAGCTCGTTGTGTTCACACCACTACACGGCATGACATGGGAAAGCAGCTTCGTACCCTCCAAAGTGTGAAGCCAATATCTAGGACACTTATCCTATCTGCTATTTCCGTTGTAACAAACATGCCCTTTATACAGTTTTCAAATTTAAGAGAAATTTATAAATAAAAAAAAACACATGAGAGATCAACTATTTAACATTTTACTCATATATTTGATTTAATTTCCATTAAAATTCGCATGACCATGAATTGGAATAATTAAAAAAGGTTAAATGTTAAATTGGGTAAATGTTAAATTGTTGCTAAATTTCCTTTGAGCCAATAGTATTTTATTTTTATTTTTAAAATTATAGTAATATCAATATGATAAACTTTGTCAAAACCCTTTATCAGATCAAGGGATTTGCTAAAATGTATCTAAAAATCTATTAACTAACATGGAAATAAAGGCACAAAGAAAAGCAATTAACTGTTTCACAAACTACTCTCTGCAAGAATTTTGCAGCTAAGGAAAATTTCAGTACTTGCAACAATAAAAAGCTCAAATTTTTTGCTAGAGATTGAATGCAATTCATCAAACCCATAAACGCTTACAAATTACCACACACTTCATCTTTGAAAAGAAAAAAAAAAACAAAAAGAAATAAATTACCACACACTTCTGCAGTGTATTATCTATCCAGTATGTGAAATGCATAAAAGGCAGGAGAATTTGATAACAAAGCATATTGGGGAAACCATGCGATAAACCTTAGGCAATCCTTGCGCAAGAAAAAGAAACCAAAATGTTGGTTTAACTCAAGAACACCAATGGTTCCTTTCTCATCAGTTTCTCTTTTAGGTTACAGTTATTTCAGTATTATCACACAAAATGGAAAAGCAAACGCTATACTACGCACATTATGCTTAGCATGCATCAGTTATGGAAGCTTACTCTTCTTCGTCACCATCATTCAGGTCACAGTGCCCAATGAGCGGTACTCTCAATTTTATGCTATTTAAGAATGGAAAATAGTCAAATTCTCCATGAGTTTGAGCACGCAGCGTGCTCTTTCAATCTGATGGTAAAACTCATCTCCCTCTCTCTACGTGTCAACATGATCCCAATCAACTGAGTCATTTCGGAAGGTGTAGTCGTGCTGATGAAGCCGATTATGGGATAATCTAGCCATCACTGCTAGGCCTGTGAATGCAAAGCACAATTTGATTAAGCATGATACACAGGAAATAGGATAATACCAAAATAAAGATTTCTAAGACAACCATAAATTGCTGGAAAATTTGAAAACTGAGAAAAGTATATTCTATTGTGGGAAAAGCTCTCGAGTTTATTAAGTGATTGAAATGATCATGTGTGTATTTTTTATTTTCTTTGGCTGGGTGAAAATGTTTGTAATTACACCGCACACAGAAAAAATAAAAATAAATAATAATAATAATAAAAATAAATATATATATATATATATGTATATAAGTAAAAAATAATATATATATATATATAGAGAGAGAGAGGTGCAAGCAGGCATGTGCCTGCATGTCTGTTTGTGTGAGAGACAAATGTTACATATGGATTATATGAGATGAGTGTTGTACGGATGCGAGAGAGGAGTACATGTGCTTGTGTCCATGTCAGAGATACAAAGAGGTGTATTTATTCTGAGTGAGAGAGAAGAGAGAGAGAGAGAGAAGCTATCCCTCACCTTCAACCACCTTGTAGAATGTTGACCACCACCTATCCCTAGGCACCTGGTACTGAGTCAACGTCTCTTCAATCACAGTGTTGTGTTTCCCTCCAAAAACATCTTTGAGAGTCATAACTGCTTCTCTCGTCTTGTTAAGGATGTTGTTTGAGTCATGAACTTCAACTATCTTCTGCAGATCTTGTTGAGAGGAGGTCAATGTAAGGCCCAATGCAAACTGTGCAGCAGCCGCCCACCTTGATGATGCCGCCCACTTTCTCTGTCTATCATTTTGTTTTGCTTCTGCCCTGTTCTCACTCTCGCCAAACACTATACTCTGCATTCTCATCAAAATGATAATGATATCTTGTCAAGAAAAACAAATAATTGGGGGAAGGAAAAGAATATGAACAAGCTAAGCAGAAAAAACAAAAGAAAGGAAAACCTAATATCTATCTGATTATTTTCTGAGGAAATGAAGGAAACATATTCACCATACCTGCAAGTATTGAGCATTAGCAGCTCCTGTGCTTTGAACCATCTTAAAGAATGAACTCCCTTCCTCCGAGAGCAACTCCTCCGGAGTGTCAAATTCCAAAACCTGAAAGAATGGAAGAGATTTTGGAGATACACAACATCTCAGTCCTAAATTTCATGTTCAAAAGGAACTCAAGAAACATAATGGCATATCAATTAAGGGAAATGCTGGTGTAGGTCCATTAGCCTACAACTACATATAGGCTCAACTGCCCAGATTCAATCTGGGCCGATCTGACGGACATGACCTCATTTCGTATTTTAATTTTAATTTTTTTTCTTCAAATCCAAATCATGTTAAATTTTAGGCGTCTATTCTTCTCATCAACGCGCACCTAATAAAAATATTAAAAAATAATTTACAAAATATAAATTGATCAAAATGCCCCTGCATCAATTTATTTTTTACAAAATATTTTTTTGATATTTTTATTGGATTCTAATATTTTTAAAGAACACAAGCACAAATTTCAAGTGATTTGGATTTATATAAAAAGAATTAAAATTCAAATACGAAATGCAATCGTTGTCATTGGATCGGCCCAGATTCAATCTGGGCGAATCTGAGCCATTGGGTCTATATGTAGCTGTAGGCTAGTGGACCTACACCAGCATTTCCCATCAATTAATATATCTTTCTTTAAAACGTCATAATGTTTGCAGTAAATAAACTTCATGATATTTACATGGAAGCATAAATTAAAAGGTAATGAGATTATTTATCACTGTAACTTCAGCAGGAGTTAGATACCCAAAAGCATACCTGACCAGCATCGAGGAGCAGAACACGGTCACAATCAATAATTGTGTTCAATCGATGGGCAATAACAAGCATGGTGCATGACTTGAACTCTTCTCTTATCGTTTTCTGGATTAGCGCATCAGTTCTGACATCCACAGCTGCTGTTGCCTCATCGAGAACAAGAATCTTCGACCTCCTTAAAAGTGCACGTGCAAGACTTAATAGTTGCCTTTGTCCAACACTGAAATTCTCTCCAGCCTCCGCGACCTTCAGCAAGCAAATCAAATGACAGACTTTTGCTGAGACCTCAGCAAAGAAACAAATGATTGTTTTTTCATAAAAAATTAAATAGAGGTGCTTTCTTGGTTGCATCCATAAGTTTATACTGCAAAATGATGTTTCTAAGCTCTGTGTTTACAACCATGATATTTGATAAGATGCGACTATGAGTGTTATTCAGTGGAATACACAAGAGGCATTGTAAATTAGCAAAGGATTTGAAAGCTAGTCACAGTTCATCCGACATAGAACCATATAACTATAAGCAATGATAAATTCTTCTAATTAATCCAGAAAATATTCTGCTAGTGACCCGCAGAAATATTATGTGGCCTCTGCAGTGAACACCTCCATGGCCTTCTCTCTGCCCCTATTTGGTTATAATTCTCATTTAATTCAATTTAAGCATGAAATTATGTGGTTTTAACTGGACTAGTCATTCAATTTAACTATGAAATTATGTGGTTTTAACTGGACTAGTCAATGACTGATCTTTTTCTTAGTACACCCAGCTGTCTCCAAGAGGCCAAAGTGATAAACAAGGAGGATTAGTCCAGGACAAATCCATCAAGGGAAAAAAAAGGCAGAAAAGAAAAAAGTAAAAGAGAACTGCTCTATCATGTGCCATCTAATAACTCGATGCACATTTAAACTGATGATAACAATGTGATGGTTGCAACTTGCAAGTCCATACCTCGGCATCAAGCCCCAAAGCATTCCTCCTGACAACATCCTTTAGATGTGCTCTCTCCAAAGATTCCCAAAGATCAGCATCATTATGTTCATTGAAGGGATCAAGATTAAACCTAATGGTACCTATAAAACACAAGGAAAGGCAAAGACAGGTACACAAAATCATCAAAAGGAAATAAAAGTGAAGAATTAATAAAAAAGAATAATACCGAAAAATGCATCTTCCTACTTGTGGATAAGACAAATGTCCCTGACTGAATAAAAAGAAAAACAATATTTACTTTTTATTTTTCATATTTTCTCAAAAAGAAATCCATGTTTAAGTCAAAACAAACCACAGGCGATTTTTAAAAATGAGTAGCTACTTACAAGAAAATACACAGAGCACGTGACAGGATTTAGTTTTATCTTGGATGCAGGCATATTGCTGAAATTGGAAATCATAGTTTCCTTAAACACTGAAAAGGACATCCCACTAAATGATTTCCAAAAAGTCACTCTTCTCAAATGATTGAAACCACCATGACTGAATAAGTCTTGGGGCATACATGTCATTGTCATTTCCCAATTAAAGTGGCAGCATTATAGTGAAATTCCTAACCAAGGACTAATTTTCTATTTTATGCTTTATCATATGGAACATACAATAATCAACATATGAAAACCTTAGTCCATCAGATCATCATCATCCAATGAAATGATAAATGATGACAGAGAGCCCCGGACCCACCACTGCGATCATGTCCAGTTCTAGTGGGTCCCAGTCCCCACCATCCATTTCATCAAATGACAATGACCCAATGGGCCAACAACATCCATTGATTGCAACATTCTATCTGTAAAGTAAATAGTCATCATTGCTACTACAAAGGCATACCTGAAAAGAGAATTGGTGCCTGTGGTATAATCCCCAGGGCCTTACGCAAATCGGCTAGACCAAACTTGGACACATCGCAATCATCTATGAGAATCCTCCCATGCTCCAATTCCACAATTCGAAATAAAGCATTGAGCATACTGGATTTGCCAGCACCAGTCCTCCCAACTATGCCAACCTTCTCACTTGGCATGATAGAGAAAGAGAGGTTATGGAGAACGGGAGGAAGTTCTGGTCGATACCTTAAAACCACATTTTCAAATTTGATGGTTCCCAAAGCTGGCCAACCAGGTGGGGGTCTGTCACTCTCAATTACAAAGGGAGCTTCAGAGGGCAAATCTATATAGGTTCCAATTCTTTCAACTGAATTCAAACTATTCTCAGCCAAACTAGCCAGTCTTAACACTGCTGTTAAGAGATTGGTAATATTTAGTGCATAGCTGAGGAGGAGACCCATTGTTGAGGCAAATGCCACCTGGTTTTCTGCACGTTGGTTTTGCATGACTGCAAACGTTGCAGTAAACCAAATCATGATACCACCCAAGGTTTCCAGCCGGATAGCAAGCCATCGATTGCCACTCATATTTACAAGGGTAAATCTGATATTGTTGTCCATGGATTTCCCATTGATACTTGCCAATCGATCGTATGCTTTGTATGCTCGGATTGTTGATAAACCATTTAGTGCTTCCCCAAATTGGGCATAAACAGGAGATCTGGTGACTGAATCCAGACGTTTCACTTCACGAGCCGTACTCTGCAGTATGTGGGGAAGGAAAAAAAAAAATTAGGAACTTTTCTGAGCATTTCATGCTATGAAATCCAAATTTGGAACTCCCTGTAAATGCATATCATGTGCTATTGTCCATGTGTTTTTGAAGCTGCTGACATTGCATTAATATAGTGTGTGAGTACAAAAAATGGTATACCATGGCTTGGGCGCCCTATACAGAACAAAAAACACAAAGCACAGACAGGCCACGATCACAAAAAAGGGTGGGGTGGGGTGGGGTGGGGTGCTCAAAAAATACCATACAGCATGCTTATAAACAAAATAGCTACAATAAAGGGCACTCAAGACACATGGGAATAGAGTTCAGTGAGATGCTGTGACGGTTTCTAGTGTGCCGCTCAAAAAGGTTCTTGCTCTAGCGAGGTGGTCTGCTTCTGAGTTCACTTCACACCAAATATGTTTCCACAAGACATGCATATCCCTGTAAATATGAAGAATTTTGTAAAAAATGTGGAGCAATCTCCATGGGCAGGGAGAGAGTCCTGACGGCCAGGAAATGACATTCTCAAAATCCCTCTCAACAAACAAAAATGGGCTCCAAGCTGGATTGAAATTCTTGTGTCCTTCAAGGAGGGCAAGGCTTCAGCTGTAGTTGAGGCGGTTGTCCAATGGGTAGGGAGAAGGAGAAGAGAGTGTGGTCGGCGTAATTCTAAACATGCCCCCTATACCAGCCAGGCCTGGTTGCCCAAAAAGTTACCGATGAAGCTGAGTTTGGATCAGCCTGGCTCTGGCGGTCTCCACAGGGAAGCCAGGGAGATAGTAGCAGGCCTCAAATAGAGCATTGCTCACCAACTTTGGAGAAAATCTGTGGGGGATAAGTGCTTGAAATAGGTATGGTTGGAAGCCCAGAAAATAATCAAGGATATGACCCGTTCTTTCAGATCTTTGAAGGTGGGTTTGGTTCCACAAAACGTCCTTTTGTTTCTCTCCATCCAAATTACCCACAGTGCTGCTGCCACAGAGGCTTTCCAAAGGAGGATCCCTGATTTCAACCAAGGAAGTGGGTAGAAAGATCTGAAAAGTTGAGGGACCGATTGAGGAATGACCCACGTCCACTCAAAGTGTTGGAGAAGGGCTCCCCACAGGGTGTTAGGAATGTCACAACAGAGAAAGAGGCGCTCATTAGTTTCTTCCTTCACCAAACACACTATACATCTACTAGGAAATGGGAGCCCACTTCTTTGGAGCTGGTCTATGGTCAGCACCCTCTTGGCAATGGTTACCCAAGTTAAAACCTCAATTTTGGGGTGGGGGGGGGGGGTTTGGTGAAAGTGAGGCAAGCTTTGGGGTATGTAAAGTGGGGAGGCGCAAGCAAGGTAGGTGGTTGGTTGAGCATACAGTAGAACGAGGAGGCAGAGAACAGGTCTGAGAGATCAGGGGACCAGAGGATTTTTTCTCCGCCAAGTGTAGGGAAGAAGGCAGAGTGGAGGAGGGTGGATAATGCCAAGAAATAGTCCATTTCATTCTCCGCAAGAAGCCTCCTGAAGTTGGGGTTCCAGCTTCTAGAAGAACCCATGACCTCCAGCTGGTCTGCCAATGAGGCGTCGGGGTTCCCAGACAAGAGATACAGCCTAGGGTAGCCATCATTTAACAGAGTGTCGCCTATCCAGCAGATCAACAAAAATTTGATCCTAATGCCTTCCCTGGGATGGAAGCAAATGTTGGCTGTGAAAGCCTCATAGCTGGAGGGTGTGGACCTCGAAGCACCCGAAGGTCTACTGGGTGTTGGGAACCTAGGGATCCAGCTGGAGTTATCGCAGTGATACTTGCAGCAGAGAACGGCTTGCCACAGATAGTTGTCCAGAGTGGCTAACCGCCACCACCACTTACCGAGTAGGGCAAGGTTATTCAAATTGAGGTTGCAGATACCAAGTCAACCAAGGTATTTTGGTTAGCAGACTCTATCCCAACATATGAGGTGGGACTTTTTGTCTGCCCCCCCCCGGACCAGAAGAAGTTTCTCATACGTTGCTCTAGACGAGACACTACTGAGGAATGCATGTGAAAAAGGGACATCTAAAATATAGGGACATTTGAAAGGGTAGCTTTTTTGAACATGATTCCACCTGCTGAAGAGAGGAATCTTCCTTTCCACCTGGCAAGCTTACCAATGAACTTGTCGACAACGTGATTCCAAAGACACTTTTTGGACTTGCCGATGCACAAGGGTAGGCCAAGTAGGTGGAAGGAAGCTCGTCGACTTTGCATTGCCATCGGTCAGCCAGATGGAGAATGATGTGGGCTTCAGTAAGTATCCCCACCATCTTAGTTTTGGCCATATTTATCTTGAATCCGGTAGCCATCTAAAGAATTTCAGGAAAAGGAGAAGGGTAATGGTTTGTTGGACAGAGGCATCGCAGAACAAGAGAGTATCATCTAAGTACTGAAGATCTGAGACTAAGGGACTCTGGTTGCCAATTTTGAACCCTTTGAGGATTCCCGTGTCGTACATCCTTGCAATGGACCTGCTGAAGACTTATGCCACTGTAGCAAACAGGAAGGGGGAGAGGGGGTCTTCCTGTCTGAGACCCCTGGATGAGTTAAAGAACCCTATGGGAGAGCCATTGATTAGGACAGAAAACATAGGGTTGGATATACAGTCATGAATCCATTTCCTCCACCTAATGCCAAAACCCATTCTAAGGTGGGTTTCGTCAAGAATGGCTCAGTCAACATGATCATAGGCCTTCTCCTAGTCAAGTTTGCTTATCACCCCAGGGGCTTTTGACAGGTATCTCGAGTGTTGGCATTCGTGTGCTACCAGAGCACCATCGAGAATCTGGGAGTCTTTGACAAAAGCTCCCTGATTTTAGCAGATGACCCAGCCATGGACCTCTTTCAATTGAAGGGTGAGGACCTTAGAAAGGATCTTGTACGAGCTATTGATGAGGTTAATGGGATGGAAGTCTTTAAGTTCTTCAGCCCCTTCAACTTTTGGAATCAGGGCAATAAAAGTAACATTCTTGTGGATGATACCTCTCTCATGGAATTCTTCAAAGAAGACTAATGTCCAGTATAAGGGTATCCCAGAAGGTGTTGAATGGAGCCACTGGGAAACCGTGAGGTACCCGGGCCCGGTCTTGGGCAAGAGATTTGATGGCCTTCAAGATTTCTCCCTCCGAAAAAGGACGCTCAAGCCCAGCTGCCATGTCCAGGGGGAGGGATTGAAAAAACAAGTTGGCCATCCTTGGTCTGGGCCTACAGGGGGCCGAGAACAGGGATCTGAAGAACACTAAGATTGCATTTTCTATGAGGGGAGGACTGTTGAGGACGCTGTCCCCAACTTTAACCTAGGAGATGGAGTTATCCCTCCTACAACACGCAGCAATCTTGTGGAAAAAGGCAGTGGTTTGGTCACTGCATTTGAGCCATTTGACTGTGGATCATTGAACGACAAGGCACATGAATGACACATTGATGACAGTTTACAAGAATCCATTATACATGAGTCTAATTGGCATCCAAATCAGCTAAACTATGCAAAAATGAAACATTTTCAAATGGCTTAAAACCTCATGAGTAACATAAATAAACTATTCCTTTGACTTACATAGCTTAAAACTGATTGAATTAAAAAATGATATTAGGTCTGCTGAACATTCACAACCCAACAGCACAAGTTCAAGAGATACTTCCAAAGAATAGGACAGCATCATAAAGGCAAGCCCAGTTCATCACTTACAGTGGTTGATAGAGAACATACCTGATAGTACAAGTAAGCAGCATAGAACAAAATTAAGAGCGGCATTATTCCCCATAGAGATGCGGTGCTCACTATGCCAATCAAGACAAATGTTGAAAGAAGCTGGCAATTTTGGCTCATAAACATGCCTACATACACCGCAACGTTACGATCGACATCTCCTAAATCCTTCGCAAATCGGTTGATAATCCGTCCAATAGGATTGGTATGGAAGAACACCATTGGAGCTCGTAATATAGAACCAAGCATCGCATCATGCAATCTTTTGGCAGCATATAGACTTACAATGACCAACCAATATGAATTTGCCAATGTCACTAGTACCTGGAATCCAATGATAGAGAGTGAACACATTCAAAATGATAAGCTAAGGTCTTTATACAAGTTATGCAACAAATACAAGATGCAATTCCTCATGAACTGCATGTACCTGGCCGAATGAAAGAAGCATATAAACAAGGTTGTAGAAACCTGCTCCATGGGTCTTTGCAGAGCTTTGGTCTGTCCAAATACTCAACCAAGTGCTACTTGAAACTCGAAGTACTTCAGTTAGAACATAACAAGAACAAAGAACTATAACCACCCATAGCCCTCCTAATGCATTTTTATACCTGCAACAAGAGGAGAAAGGAATTAGGAATATTGACTCTGAGGTTAGAGCATAATGGCCACATACGAAAGGTTCAAATCACGGCTGAAACTCCCAACCCCCACCCCAAACAAAAACATGGAAGAAGAATTGGCACAACAAATCATATGAAACATATTCAGTTCAATGCAACATATTATCTGGCAGATAACCCAGAATATACCATGCGATGTAACACAACATGAACAGAATTACATCATGAACAGAATAGAACCATGAAATATATAGGGTCACATCAGATCCTTGTTCAAGAGATGTATTTCTAGAAACATCTTAAGAATTTCAGACAGAAGACTGGTCTATAGAATCTTCATGTGCACTAGCAAAATTTCAAGAGATATCCAGGCACTGGCAGATTTGTAGGTTCAATAATAGCAACTTTCTATATAAGCTAACACTAAAGCTCTAAAATATCAATTAAAGAAGTAAACAGACTCCCAATATTTGGAATTCTGGATACACACTAAAAAGTAACAAGCTAATGGGTTTTGGAATTTCCCAATTAAAAAAGTCATCATTCAACACAAACCTACTAATTGTAGCTATCACAAACTAAAAGATTCCCACTTGAGCTCTATCGTGACAGTAGACAACTGCAACCCATACCATACGTACACACAAGAACATGCATATAAGAGTACACACACACACACAAATGGAAATGTTCTAACATATCCACACAATGCTTGGCAAAGAAATTGAATTTTGAAGGCCCTCATGGAAGTACATACTAAGAAATATTCCAAAAGAGAGGCTAATTACCTCACAAGCACGCCCAAACTAACAACTCCTGTTTCACGTTCCTCTTGCTTGATGAGAACTGACTTTCCTTTCTTTCCCTCACTCGCATTATTTGCTTTTATTAATGTCTTTCCATCTTCTATCACATCCCCATTGGCAACAGGTTTATGAATATTTTGGTTTTGGTTTCCATTTACAGCTTCTTCTTCAGCTTGCTCCTCCATCTTCCCAGCATTTTCCATCAACTTTTTAAATAGCACGCCATTATTGGTCAACTCCTCAAAGGTACCCTCCTCTTTCACCATACCTTCATGAACCAGTATAATTCTGTCAACATGAGGAAGAAAGTGAAGCTGGTTTGTCACCAAGACTCTGGTCTTCCCACGCAACTCATCCTTGATACATTTATCAAAAACCTGTTAAACAATTTCAAATCACAACACTATATTTTTTAATCTCAAATATAGATGTACAAGAACTAAATCATTCAAATGTAAGCAGCTTGAAGTTAAGTGTAGGCATAAATACACATGTACCAGCAATATCTTAGATCCCAATCTATGTTAACTCTAGAAAAATCCATTCATGTTTCAGAAGAAAATTTCTTCAGTCATATGGATTGTGCTTGAAAGCAATATTGTTAACAAATAAATTCCAATGCTTCCAGTTTACTTTGAGAGTATTCATGTAACTAAAAATATAGTCTCATGGAAAATTGATGGCATACTATATATAAAAGGTTGCGTATAGCTTGCTTTCATGGGAGAAATTGTAAATTTGCTCCTACAGGCAAAAGGCCTACTCAGGAGGAATTGTTTGATCTAAACTTTGTAAAACATCAATGAATCGCCTAATGAAAATTTTCAAGAAAAAGGTGAGAAAGAGAGAGAGAGAGATGACTCTTGAGTTCCCATGAAATGGATGGCTTGTGTTCACTATTGCAGCAGAGTTCACTTTGGACCATTTTTAGTGTGTATATGCATTTTTTATTTTTGGATTGATCATCAGAATAAATAATAAACATCTACGAATAGGTTTAGGTTTTTGCGAGTGGAAGTAAGTGTACATTTCACTCCTAGGGGAACCCCTTTTTGCTCAGTCAAAGGAACAAGAACACATCCAAAGAAGATACCTTTGGCATGGTAATAGTAAGATGGACAAATTTGTTTTCGTTCAATGGGAGAAAGTTTGCAAGGAAAAGGTTTCAGAAGGTTTGGTATGAGAAGATTGGCTGCAACTAATAAAATGGCTAAATGGCATTAGCGATTTGGATGAGAAGAAGACATGTAGCAGAAGAGAATTATCATCCAGGACTATGAAAGTGAGCGTGTAAGGTGGAAGATCAACCCTCTTTGCTGAAGGTCTTGGACTTCATCTATGTGGAAAGGCATTGCTTCAATGGTGGATGTTTATTTGAATGCTAAAGAAGAATTGGTGGGGTGTAGGCAATCAGATCAGCTTTTGGGATGATGTATGGTGTGGGAAATCATCCCTGAGAGAAAAATTTTCAAGACTTGTACTAGAGGCTGTTTCACAGGAGGTCATTATTTAGGTTTACTTTGAGAGATCGGGCAAGGGTATCGTATGCCATGTAATGTCCAGCTTTTCAAAGAAATAGGGATGTCAGAGAAGAAAGGTTTATGCACCCTCTCAACATGCCTTGACTCAATATATATTTCTGAAGACACTCCGACAAACCTGTGAGGCAATTGCAAGCGAGAAGGATCTTCACTGTTAAATCATTGGCCAGGTCTAATAATAGTGGACTTTGGTTCCACAATACAATTAATTCGGGATATTTCTGACCCCACCCGCCCCCCCCGCCCCCCCCCCCCCAAAAAAACAATTAAAAATAAAAAATCAGTGGACCCCGTGTTTCGGATGGTTAGCAGTGATCAACAAGACTCTTATTGTGGATCACCTACAACACTAAGGTATGCAACTTGTGTCTGATGTATCAGGAAACCAAAGAACAAATTAATCATCTGGTAATTCATTTTAAGTTTAGGCATTCAATCTGGAGTTATTTTTATGAGTTGTTTGAAGTTCACTGGGCTTTCCGAGTTAGAAGTTCACTGGGCTTTCCTATGCTATTTTGGAACTCCTATGTGGCTGGAAATTCAGTCACTTCACACTGGCTGGGTGTGTAGTATTATTGCAGTGCTGTGGGGATAATAATCCAAGAGGAATAACATCTTTGAAGGAAAGTACTCTTGAATCTCAAGTTTGAAGGAGAGGATAAGGGATCAGATGATCTCTAGGGAATTAATCAGAAAGGAGTTACATCATCTACGTGAATAGGATAATGTACGGGAATGGAAGGTAGTCGCAAATGGTTAGGTAACCAAGTGTTGTATCCATGCATCACGGCCAGCACTGTCTTAGGGGAAATTCAAATAAATTACAATGGAAGTTCATTTGGCACTCCTGGATCTCCAGTTAGGGGGAGGGGGTGTCATCCGGGATACCGGCCTAATCCTTTCAATCTATGCACGGCCAGTGGGACTTGGAGATGCCAATAGGGCAGAAAACTCAAACACTTAATAGGGCTGAAATCTTTTCTCTGCACACTCTCCAACCGGCTAACCATTGAAGAGACTAAAAATTATATGGTGGAAGAAATTCAAGACAGTAGGATAGGGACGTCATCTTTATGCCCTAGGATGGCAAATGAGATCGCTAATTCTCTAGCAAAAGCAGGGAGTGCCAGGGAGGCTCCGTTTGAGGAGCCAGAAAACCCATTCCCTTAGTCACTACTCTCCACCTTCTATAGCTTCCCTCCCTATCAATGAAAGCATCCATGTCAATCTGCTCTAGGAAGCAACTGGATGTAATTGGATTATCATTTACAGGAAAGAAAAAAAGAAAAACTTCATATCTTCATATAAATGTGATGATCAGCAAAAAGCCAATACAGTATTATGGGGAAAAATTTAGGATGGAGAAGGAGCTAGCTTTGGACCATCACGTAACCACATAGCTCCAGTAGGTGGCCTCACCAAGTTCAGACCAATTAAGCATGCCTGATTTGGTAAAATTCGTGCTAAATTAAACCACATTGAGCTGATTGCATTCCATACCAAGCTCCTGAGCCAGTAAGTCAATTCATTTTGGGGCTGACTTCGACCGTGAGCATTGCGTGTCAATCACTTTCGGTTTGCGTTTGGCCATGATATCAACTATTCAAGAGTCATATTTCACAATTATAAGAAGAATATTTCTTTTTGGTTTTTGCCAGGTAATTGTGGTCAAAATGCACAGAATATTTCTTTTTGTTTTTTGCCAGGTAATTGTGGTCAAAATGCACAGACGAAAATCACCTGTCGACCAACATGAGCATCAAGTGCACTTAGAGGATCATCAAATATGAATACATCGGAATTGGAGTAAACAGCCCTTGCCATTGATACTCTTTGTTTTTGCCCACCACTAATATTCACACCTCTTTCACCAATCTCCGTAAGATCACCACCCTGTACATTAAAAAAGGCATGAAAGTGAGCATAGGCACATCTATTATTGTTCAATTGGCCCTACATTACATAAAAAGCATAAATAATACACGTGTATGAGAATGAATGCACACATTCCGATACAAGTGCAGATTACAGCACATGCATACACCCATAGTCCATTTATGACATGTAGGCAGCCTACATCTTGGAAGATGCAACAAACAAAAAGGCTTCCTTCCCTTTTGCAAAACAACCCCCCCCCCCCTTCTTTGTGCTTTTTTTCCTATGTCTCCTCTCTTTCTTCTCCCCTCCCTTCCTCACTCCTTCCCTTGAGGCATGGAGTTAGGAGGTCATATGAACAGAATATTTCATATATGTAAACTGAAATATATGGAATTTTGCACTAAATCAAAACAATAATCTCCTTAGTAGCATAATCCATCTATACTTACAGGCAACAACTCTAGATCATGCTCCAATGCTGTCACTTCTATTGTTCTTTTATAACGTGCTGAATCAAAAGGTAATCCAAACAATATATTGTCACGAACCTGCAGAAAAGGAACAGCATATGTCACGAAATTCTAAAAAGATACTAAATTCAAGTAAGGACAAGCATATGAGCATGTCAACTTACAGTTGCATTAAAGATCCATGAGACTTGCGGTACATATGCAACACTTCCTCGTATTACAACTTCTGTGTTTTTCATTGGAGGTAGTTCACCGATCATTGCTGATATCAATGATGTCTTTCCCTCACCAGTGGTACCAACAACTGCTGCAAGGCTATCCACAGGTACATCCAGGTTGATGTTTGATAATGTGGGCTTCTCTGACTGACATTATTATGCTATGTGAATTAGATAAATATATAAGCAATAACAAAACAAGTGCCTAATTACAAAAAAGATTACAGAAAGATTGATGATCGCCATAAAATCAACAAATATACTCGGCCAATATTAACAGCTTCTACTAAAAAATGTTGTAGGTTTGATTATGGATTTACAGATCAGTCCAGAGGATTTTAGATGGTTAAATGATTTGTGAAACCACATTTATTTATTTTTATATAATCATACTCAACACAAAAAATTTAAGAGTAATATTTGAAAGTTCAAAATTCTAGCGTGTCGTTCTATGAATCATCATCATCATCAGAGCCTTTGTCCAACTAATTGGGGCTACACAAATCCTGGTCTACCATTTTTCTCTACCAAGGGTCATAGCCTTAGTGAGGCCATAAATCCCCGTATCTTTTCTCATTCCCTCGAACCATGTCTTTTTGAGCCTACCCATTGCCCTTCTTGAGCTTGGCACTTGAACTAACTTGCACCTCTTAACAGATATTGTACTGGATCTGCGCCGCACATGGCCAGCCCACCTAAGTCTACTTTCTCTCATCTTATCGCCTATTAGTGCCACACCTAAGTTCTCCTGAATGTATGCATTTCAAATTCATTTCATCTATCCCTTCTTGTCTTGCCATTCATCCATCTCAACATCCTCATCTCAGCTACACTCATTCTATGGGTATGTTGTTTCTTAACCGCCCAACATTCTGCCCCATAAAGGAAGGCTGGTCTCACAGCTTTGCTTTATGGTATGGAGTGTTAAGCGGTCAAGAATGCTTCCATTATTTGCATATTTGTATTATCTCTTTGTCCAGGTAATAAGATTTCTTAGATGAAGTACATGAATGCTGGAAACATTCAAATATCAACAAGAAGAAGAAAAGACATTTGTCTATAGATCTCAAGCTACAAGTTGCACACAGAAAGTAGGGTTTCTTAGAAGCATTGATTAACAGTTTGAAATTTCTAAACATGAGAGCCTACACAAAAAGAAGTTCTTCCTGAGACTTTTTTCAGCACCCAATACCAACATATCAGAAGTACAAGAAATCTGGTTGTAAAATATAATAGGTATGCTGGATGATCAAGTTAACTTTGCACATTTCAAAAGAGTCCTTAAAGAGTAGAAATGGATGGACTCCAGCATGGTAGCATACCTTATCTAAAAGAAAATATAAGATGTAGTTGCTCATACATGTGCACGAGTTATGCAAGGTAAAGAACTGAGTGTCATGCTCAAATTAACAGCGGTTAACACTTTTCCATGAAGTAATGCAAACTGACCTTTGCATCCCATGAGAAACATCCATTCCTTATTGAAATAGCAGGGAGTCCTGGCTCAAGAGGAGGATTTGGCTGAAGAATTCTCTCTTCAGTTAGGAGAAGATCTTCTAGTCGCTTTAATGACACATTCGCGTTTACAACCTGCATGACCAGACCACATTTGTTTTTCAGCGCCTATTCAATTCCAAAAGATCTAACTAGATACCTGCAACAAGAAGCCCCTTTTTTTTCCATCTACAGTATAACCCCATAGAGATATGATAGACAAATCCAAGAAGGGTAAAGGAACTAAACATAACGAAATACAAAATAAGTACATAGAGCCATGATAGAAAAGATATATAAAAAAGCAATTACTGAAGGAAACATATCCATGTAAACCAGCTTACCGTTTACTGATATCATTTTCCTAAACGTAGTGTAATGGCTTACAAGGAATAACATCATAAACTTAGTCCAAAAGAAACAATAAGTTAATCAAATCCATGATAAATACAGACGGAAATACATGTACCTGAGTTATCAAATTAGGAAGCATGAACAATGGGAAACGCAGCACTGCAAATAGGGAAAGTGACGTAAAAGCCTTGGCAGGTGTCAATTCCCCTCCAAGTAATGTGTACATCCCGAAGGAAACCACCGTAACCAGAACCGGAATGCTGTTCAGAATGAAACTGTTGCACTGGAAAGTGTGGCATGAAATCACTAAAAAGCAGGAATATTGTTGGCAAACAAACATGCCTTCAATCTCAAATAAATAAAATGGTTTTCACACAGTCAGGATAAGATCACCAGAAAAAATGGTTCACAGGCCAATCAGAATGAAATCAGAAATTGGGCTGAAATCAATCAATTGAATCCATTCTATTCTTTTCCATGAAGAACCCAATTCTTAACATACAAAGGAGAAACATTGATAAAATTAAACGAAAGAACAAAAAAAACTCAGAAAAGAGACAAATTAAGCAAACAATTTTGACACTCTTATTTTATCAGTTCAGCAGTGTAATCCAGTGAAAACCCAGGCAACATGTTCGAGAAAAAACAAAAGCAGAGCCATTTTACAGTCCAAACTTCAGACTCAACACTAAACAGAGAGGATTTTATTGCATTTCACCCTTCGTGAGGATCAATCCAGCTAAAATTGCATGAAAACAAGAAAAACCGGTCAATAGCGTCAATGTCAACACATCATGTAGTTAAACACCTATTGGATTTAATTTTGTCTGTATGGTGCAACATACGGTTTTGATTTCTGGCAAAATTATAAAATAATGAGGAAATCAAAGTCTTTTTAGTAGTGTTATCAAATTCGCTTCGCTTCGGCCGAAGAGGCTGAAGCCTTAAGCTTTCAGGCATAAACCGAAGAGAAGCGAAGCTTGGTGTTGTCGCTTCGGTCAAATTCGCTCCACTTTTGGGTTGCTTCAATCAGATTCAGGTCTGCTTCGGGTTTGCTTTGGTATGCTTCGGGTCTGTTTCGGTCAACAAAGACATAGCTATATAAAAGTTTCTTTTTTTTTATTTTTTTTTCCATTATTTGAATATATTTTATATATAAATATATAATTTATTCATACTAAATTAAAAAAAATGTCTGAAGTCTTCCTCCAAATCGGCAGAAGCACCAAATTGCTTCATATTTCTCATCAAACCAAAGAAGACTTCGAAGCGAATCTCACAACATTGCTTTTTATACTTCAACATTTTTTAACACTCTCATGGACATTTTTGTACATAAGAGATCAAAGTGTTGAAAATGCCAAATTAAATAAACAATAAAAAATTCTTAGCAATGCATCTTCTCAAGAAGAAAGGCCAAAGTCAGTCAATTTGCAAAAACGGGAAAACAAATTGATTGGATTCTATTTCGCTAATTTTGACCAGATAGGCCAATTACTGGTCCTCATATGATCTGGACATCATATGAGGCCTAAAAATTGGCTAATCTGAACATTAGATGCACAATACCCATAGGATGAGTATAGCTGAGATGAAGATGTTGACATGGATGAGTGGCAAGAGAAGAAGCGGTAGAATTCGAAATGAATACATTCGGGAGAACTCAGGAAGTGCAAGTTGGTTCAAGTAGAAGGCTAAAAAAAGAGCAAGGGGTAGATCCAAAAGGATATGGTTGAAAGTAGTCAGAAAAGATATGGGGACTTATGGCATCGCCGAGGGTATAACTCTTGATAGAGTAAAATGGGGACTTATGGCCTAGCATAGTTTGAAAAAAGTTATGATGATGATGATGATATGACGTGGACATCATTTATATGCACCAAATAAACACCAATTTGAATAGGGAAACACAGTTAACTGCATAAAATATTTATGAAATGGTTTCAAGGAAACTCGAAAACAGATGCATAATCTACATTTGTTCAGGTTTTTGACCTACCGCCCCAAGTAATGATGCCCGACGGAACCACGAAAGCTCATCATTGCGAACGCCTTGCACTTTAGATTGAAAACTCTGCTCCCACGCGTAGCACCTATGCTTAATAGAAACAAAAGTCAGAAAAAGGAAATTTGTAAAAGTTATTGTTCAATGTATAGAAATTTTTTGATCGTGTACATGTAATTAAGATGCATACTTGACCGTATCCATGGCTGCCAAGATTTCATTCATAAGGCCAATTCGCTTGTCAGTACGCTGCAACCCCTCCTTAGAAAACTTCTGCAATTGGCTTATCATATATGTCTGATCCAAGAATGAACTAGTAATTAGTCATGTGATTTAATCAAGTAACCAATCAAAAAAAAATTTTGGAGAGTCACTTGAACCATATCTGTCAGTCAATAAGCAATGAAACACGCATCTTATGTATAAAAATAACAGGTCAACTGCAATCCTTTTTTATTTCTTTAGCTTCATGCAAGGGTGTTTGCTAGGAATCCAGTAAAACAGATACCCAGCCATCTTGGTAGGGATGCACATGTACGATGGCAAATGTCTCTATATAATGTTTCAAAAATGCCACATGGTCTGGAGTCTACAGACACATTATCTAGTTCCTAAATGGCACAATCCTATTAACCCACAGACAATAAATTCTCAATGTATGAATGATTGTATGGGTCCCACAGTCTTTTGCACCCAAGCAGGAACAATGAAGGCATGCCCATGAATTAGACAATCTCTCTCCTCTAACTTCACTATTAGTATAACCTGCATGACTGGATTTCATTTAAGAAGCACCACTAAAAATGCCAGCATAAGCATTCCTGGCCTCTTCCAAATTTGGAGCCAGTTCATCTTGTTCACGGCTTTCCTTTCCTCAAAAAACCGACACATAAGGAAGGAAAATCTCCCCAAAACTAATGATTTAAACAATGTCACAACAGTTCTTCGACTTCTAATGATCAATCATCAACATATGGGAAGAACTGTATTGCATGATTTTACAGATGTGCAGTTTCTGATACCACAATAGATTCTACACAGATTAAGAAGAAGGCAGCAATTTTCATTGTCTTAGTGTCACACAACGGCACATATCAACACTTTGTATGCTGCTGACAAGCTCTGACATGGCATGTCAATACACATGTCAGAAGTGTCTGCTAATGAGACAACCCATGTCATGTGTGCTTTTATAGCACAAAAAAGTAAGGTCAACTGGTCAGTTTTGAATCCACAACCTCTTTGCAAGTGAACAAGCACTCTAACTGCTCTACTACTTGTACTTATGTGTACAAGTTTGCCAAGATATTTTGAAAATTCAAAAAACCCTCTTCGCAATTGAACAAGCACTCTAACTGCCCTACTACTTGTACTTATGTGTACAAGTTTGGCAAGATATTTAGATAATTCAAAAAACTTAAAAGTACGAACTCAATCTCTAATCTAAAATTTTCTTGCACGAAATCATTTTAAATACTTTATTTTTTTCTAAAATCTCCCATAATTTATTTTTGCAATATTTTTAGGCTGCACATCCTGTGCTCCCACAGGAAAAGATTGCACGTGCTCCAGCAGGCAAACACCCACCTGGGAAGATTTTTATCGTAAAAAATTTGCACAAAACAGTGCAAGTTCTTAAAGGCCTTGATCGACCATCCAAAAAATTGTCAGTCCGCACATTTGCAGGCAGAAATTCTTTTTACAAACATTAAAATTTGAATCTTAAGTTTAGTTTTAAAAAGTTGATTGCTGGGATAAGTCGAGAACACCCCCATTATTCGGGTCCAAAAACACACCCTAAGTAGGTTTTTACAAACCGGAACAAGTGCAAAATCTGCTCCCAGGGGATCAAATTGTTTATTTATTATACATATATTTAAATTTTTTAGAAAATACTTGTATGCACGAGACGATTTAGTATTGACTTTTTGGCCTATAAGGAAAAATAACTTTAAAATGACTATGGTAATTACTTAGTCGCAATATACTTCTAAAGGCTGACTTGTAGATGCAATAAGCAAAAAGATATAATTATAAATTGCACATTTCTAAGGCAAACCAAAAGCATAAATGTATGGCACAACAATAGAGCAGGATAATGTCATGAATATTAATACCAGGAGCAAAACAAGCACACACTCAAAACATATATACCTGTATTGGGAACATGAGGACCAGAACTAACGCACCAACAAGTGCAGCGACACCTAGTTGCTCGTATAGGAGAATCATAGAAATGATAATACGAAATGGAGCTGACCATATACTATGAAGTTGCTGGCATATTTGCTGTATGAAAATCAACAAAGTATGTAAGTAACACAGTGTGCACCAATAAAACTTTGACATACATGTCAATTGGTACGATAGAGCTAACAGTAAACAAAAACTATCTAAGCATTATATATTATATTTTTTCCTGCTGATAATCAGAATACATGATTTTTTAACATTTTGCTAGCCAAATGACAAATGCATAACAAACTTGCACCAAGATTAAAAAAGAACAAGCCATCACCCTTCAGCCTTTCCAAAGGATGCATATGAGAAAATGAGATTGTTCGTCTTATGTTTTCTATGTACCCTTAGGAACCATCAAAATAATAAGTGAAGCAAACTTCTTAAAATATCAAAAAATATTATCTTTTCACACTACAGGAGAATAATGACAGAAACTATTCATTTTTCAGTCTATGCATCAGAAACTAAATACATGATAAGTACATAATATGTCAAAATTTCCTTCTTTTGCCTATAAATAGCATTGGTTTGAAGCAATAACAACAATAAACTTAAACATATAGCCGTGTATCTTGAGGATACTCTACAACATTGGCTTTCAAAGGATTGTACATGGAATTTAAGTCTTTGTTATGAAGGATGGCCTAAATAGGTAGTTGGTCTAGTCCCACTAGAGGATGCTGATGAAACTAAAAGAACACAATCTTCATATGCTATAGTTCATTGACTTGTCCAACCTGAAGTGATTCAGCATCTGTGGTCATCAAATTGGTTATCTTTCCAGAAGGAAAATTTTTCCGGCCTTCATGTGTCAGTCGTAGTGATTTACGCAATACAGCAGCAACCTGAATCAATAAAAAAAGTGGTCATTTCTATTTCTTTCTTTTCATGTTTCTCCTTTTCACCAATCATAATTTAAAAGAACCAACAAGTAAACAGGAACAGACCTCAAAAAATGTGAGATTACATCAGATTATAACACGTAGAACATGTTGAAAAGGAGGGGGGAAAAAAGATATTCTGAACAAATCTGACACAACATTTTTCTGTGAAAGAATGCCCATACAACTCGCAAAGAAACATAAACAGCAACAGCTCATATGCTGTTCTTCGCAAGTAATCAAGTTCACGTATGCTCAAAGAAAAGATCTAAGGAAGACCAAATACATTCAGACAAATCCAAATGACAAAAACATACCAAGGTTGACCTAAGCCTGAAGCCCACACGCATGACATTCTGAAAGTACTGTGCCTCACTGAGCACCCCCAACACCTGCAAAAAGTTTGATCCAAGAAGAAGAAAATTAGCCACAAAAGAAATCAGTTTTAATTTTCAAATCATCTAGCAATCAACAAAAACTGGCAAAGGATTATGCAACACTGTTCTTCGAGGAACAGAAAATCAAAATAAAAAAGGGAAGACGTGATTACAAACATATTAAAACTATAAGCACGTTATCTAATGTAAGTTGTTCCATATGAAAGAATAAAAGGAAAGGAATGATTAGATTAGTTATTTCCAACCCCATGACATTTCTGTGCAGACAAACATGAGAGTATTCAAGTTGTGCCTCATACCACACCCATAAATATTGAGAAGGCACAGATATAACCAATCCAAGCTGGATCGCCACGTTGCATAGACTGCAAATAAAGATCAAAGAATGGTTACATATTCCTTTAGGAAATCCACGAGATACAACCTAAATGAAGTAAAACTAAACAACTTATATCAATCAGATACATCACATACATGTCTCGAACTCTGGAGTCATCAAGGCACCATTTCAATCAGAAAATGTGATATATGATATGATATGCTAAGAAGACATCTCATTATGACAAAGTGTGGTGTCTTCACTTTTGATGAGCAAATCCAGAATAATGTTCAAAAACTAAAAATTAATTTAAGAGGTATTAGCTGACCCCAAATATTTGGGAAAAGGCTCGGGTGATGATGATGATGATGATAACATGCATGGATATGCATTATCAAAAAAAAAAAAAATGCATGGATATACCTTAAAGCCCAGGGAGCATATTTCTTATCATTCCAAAAATTCTTACCTTTTTCTTTTTTACCTTTTTGAAACGCACGATCATAAAAGCACTTTGTAATAACGATGTGATTCTGTTTGATATTGTATTGAACAATTATTGCAATTGATGCTTCACACTAAAGGTACCTCTCAGAGTGGGACACAAGGATGCAAAACAATAGATGCTGAGGCACTATTTCTTTAGGTTTAGAAAGTCTGCCAATTAGCTCATGTACCCTTTAGGTCACCAAGAACTTTCACACCTAAGACCTACTATACCTGGGAGCTAGTTATATACTTTTCCAATTGTCCAGGATAGGTTCAAAACGCTATGACATGCTATGACTTTCTTAACCATATTAGGTACAAATACTTGACAGTGAAAATTTAAATTTTAATCTGATCACTTTCCATTCACATTGACAACTAAATTTGAAGAATTAATATCAAAGGGTTGAAAGACAAAATGTTAGTAATAATTGAGTTTAAGTGCCAACCACATACTGAGTTTAAATTATGGAATAGTGTAGTCACACTTAGCTCAATTCAAAACTGACTAATCCAAAAATAGATGAAGCGTGCTAAAATCCCAAGGAATGTACTAATTGATGGATGAAGGCACCAAGTGATTGAATATTGATTTGGCTATCCTTTGCAAACACAGACACGCACAAGCATGCACGAGCACACGCACATGTGCATGCACATACACACAACAAAAGACCTGAAATTTAAGCAGGATTGAAAAACAACTAACCACCAAAAGTAGGTTCAAAATGACAGGTCCCACAAACTGAGAAGCATCATTCCCTACCTGCAAGTAGATCATATTCAAGATCAGAGACCAGGAATTAAATGGCAATAGATTATACCCCATAGCAGATATAGTTCAATACTCCATATTAAATATCATATCCAAAGAAAATGTGTGAATAAGAACTGGGAAATGACGGTAAAACCCCCTAATAGATTTTTTTTTTTGTTTGAAAGCTGTTAACGGTTGCATTAGAGTAAAAGAGCGATTACAGAAGTGCATGGAAAAAGCCCACAGACCTGGAAAAAGCCCACAGACCGGGCCTCTCGGTAAAAAATAGGCTATCCCAAGAAGGGTAATCCTATACAAAAAACTGGATGGAGCTTAAACACTTGCCCATTACAGAGGATATACAAAAAGAAATAAGCCGAGGATACAAAAAGAACAAAAAGACCCAAGAATCCTTAAAATAATGGGCTGAGGATCAAAGCCAAATATATTTGGAAACCCATAAACACCCTTGGCTCTATGGGATTCCCATGAAGGCCCCTAAAGTATTAAACTCAGACTTATACCTCCCTACCAAGATTCTCTCTCTCTCTC